GTGGCTGGCGCCTTAGCCGGTTGAGCTATAGGCGCCGAGCCCTTACTGGTTGTTCTTGCGGTTGCCTTTGGCCCAAGTTCTGTGCCTGGGCCTGTCTTCCAACCACTTGTGTCTGATACCTTCACATGATGTTTGCTGCATGTGACAATCACACTCCTCTTGTTGAATTGACAACATTGAGGGACAAATAGTATAGGAAGAAATGATATATGCTTTCATTTAGTCAAGAACAGAGTTGGCAATATTTTTTTCTGGAAAGGACAGATAAGAAATATTCGGGGCTTGGCAAACCCTCCAGTCTCTGTTGCAACTCCCCCCAACTCTGCCATTGCGGCCCCAAAGCCATATGTAAATGAATGGGTGTGGCTTTGTTCTGATAAAACTTTGTTTACAGACACTGAAATTTGAATTTCATATAATTGTCACATCAGAAAAAATTCTCTTGATTTCTTTTTGACTATTTAAAATGGAAAAGCCATTCTTTACTGAGCTATACAAAAATAGATTCTGGGCTGGATTGGCCTCACGGGCTATAGTTTGCTGATCCCCTTGTCAAAACTGAGACAGATGGAGGAAGCTCAAGAAAAAAATTAAATGTCAGAAAAAGAGTTTTATTTTCTTTTGAGGAAAAAAATTGGGAAGAACTGCTATTTTTATCATACACATCAAATCCTATGTATTACTAAATACTTATAAAGAACAGTTTTATTAGTTGATAGATCCACTTTCGTTTCCCAAAGTGAAACAGTGCCTCTAGGCTTTCCAACAAGTGCATGTAGGGCCTTTCAGTTGCGTTGCAATTTCAAAATTTCCTTTTAGTTGACACACAAGAAAGGTCCACGTGTTAATTTCATCAAATTTAACAATTATTTGTTAAACTTAGCAATTTGGGCCAAGCTAACTTTGAAAAACATGTAATTGAGAAAAATCATAAACATAAAAGAACATAAACATACATGGATAATTTAATAGTGATAATGATAACGTCGCCATGTGACTGCCCTTCAGGTCAAGAATTGGAGTGATAGCACATGACTGGCTCCTCCAAGCACCACCCATCCCCACTGACCTGTTGTGCTAGAGCCCAATCCTGTCCCTCCTCCATGGAAGCAACCACAATCTTTCCTTGTTCCTCGCTTTTCTTTTTGGTTTTATTTCCTATGCATGTATTCGGAAGTGATGCCGGTTAGTTTTGCCTAACCTTGAACTCTATATCAGTGTGGTCATTCAGCGTGTGTTCACATGGGTCTTGCTTCTTTTGCTCCACATTATTTGGAAAGCATCATCCTTGCAGTTGTTCAATGTCATGTTGCACTGAATGACTATACTGACGTTTAGTAATTTAGTCAACTGTTGATGAGCGTTGATGTTGTTTGTAACCTTTGGCTGTCATGAGCAATGGTGTCATGAATATTCTGGTAGATTTATCTCAGTGTATCTACCTTGAGTGCATATGCCTAAGAGTCATACTGCTGGGTCATCGGCATGCGTATTGTCAACTCTGATATGCCAAACTGGTAATGGTGGCCTTACCATTTTGCCCACCAGCAGTGTGTGACAGTTCTTCTTTTCACATCACAGTCAACACCTTAGTGACCTGTCTGACTTAGGGACAGGTTAAACTTTTAGAAGAATTGTCGTAGTGCTGGAATTGTGGCTCCAAACCAATCCCAAGGGCCCTGTGCCTTTGTACCCTTGACTCTGTCCATTTCTTCTCCTTCAGGGGTGGCCTGTGAACCTCATCACAGCCGATCGTGTCTCCCCACTTCATGAAGCCTGTCTTGGAGGTCATCTCTCCTGTGCAAACATTCTCTTAAGGCATGGGGCTGACGTAAGTGAAACTCAAATAACATTTTAGAAACCAAAAATGCAATGGGACTGTTTGTATTCCGTCTGAATAATTTGCAGCACCTTTGATTAACCTGCTGAATGAAGGGGGTTGTTTTGTTCAAGGCTATTATATCCATCAAGCTCATTTGTCCTAGGGATAGATGATACACTGAATCGTTAGCCAGGAAGTCATGCTTAGAGTCTATATCATTTTCTTTATCAGACACTACTAATAAATAGCGGTTAGCCTTCCACCTTCATTGCTATGGTTGGAAGGCAGTGAAGTATTGTGGAAGGCACACATTTGGCTGCTGTGGCTAGGATGTCTGGGGAGACCGAATATTTCTATGTGGTCCCTCATCTCTTAGCAGTCAGCCTGGACTTGTTCACATGGTAGCAGGGATTGCAAGAACAACCAAAGAGGGACAGCTCTCTGCTTGCCTCACATTTGCCAAGTGTCTCATTGGTCTCACATGGGCACACAAGAGTCAAGGATTGGAAAAATAGTCTCCATGTTGTGAAAGACAGAATTAGAAAGTCACGCACAAAGGAACGTACATATCAGAATAGAAAGAATCTGTGACCGTTCTTGCAAATCACCACAGTGCACATAGTAGTGAGTGATTATGCTAAAAGGAGCTGTTGAGAGTACATAGAGGGGTTCCTAACCCATCTATTTCTGATGGGGATGAAGGGAGTCGAAAGAGGCTGCCTGTAGGAAATGGTGTCTAAGCTGCAACCTAAAAGACCTGGTGTTGGGCAGCTGAATGGTGGGTTAGTGGCAATTATGAGCTTCCCACTCCCTGAGAACGACAAACACAAAGTCCTAGAAGTGAAAATGAGCTCATTTTGGTGACTTCCATTCCCTGTGGAAGGAGAGTAGAATGAGCGAAAGGATTCAGAACACAAGCAACCTTGTTGTCTATGTCAAGAAAATGGACTTTGTCCTAAGATCAATAGAGAGCCAGAGGTGAGTGTATCATCAGGTTTGTGTTTGGGTTAAGGAAATTAATTTAAAACTTGGAGTCAAGGCCGGGACCAAGTTGAAGCAAGAGGGGCACGTAGGGTGAAAACTTCAAAGAGGTGCTCACTCTCAGGGTCCGGGAGCATTGATGTGACCCTAAGAGTGAGCCTCTCCTTCAACTTTGTATCCGGGGTATCTTTGTGCCTCACTTTGGTCCTGGCCTTGCTTGACAGTAGAGTGTGACAATGAATTCACTGTCTGCACAATATCATTACTTAACGGATTCACCAAAGAATTATTTAGTGACGCAGATGAATGCCTATGCATTTGACTTTGCTATTTATTATTCAGTTATAGCCCAAACACTGTGAATTAGACATTAACTTGTAAATTTCTGATTTCCAGCCTTAGAAGAACTGGCCCCAAAGATTATAATTTTATGGCCCTACAGGACATTGACCAGCTTTGCATCTATTAGCAAATATATTTCATCACCTCATAGACTATTTAAACTCTCCTTCGAGCCAGCCTTACCATCTATTGATTCCCTCCTTAATGAATGACTGGTGGTATAAAATCTTTGGCATCTGCGAACTCTATATTTGTATGAAAGTCACGTTTTTTAATTTAAGAAATTATACTTTAACAATTTTGGAAGATTGCTCTTGTGATTGTGAGGAAGCTGAATTGGTGTGGGATAAGTCTGGCAAGTAAGTTTAAAATAAGGAGATTAGTTTGTAAGCTGTTGAAATTATCCTAACCGTTTCAAAGTTCATGTTTCTGGGGGGGAGCAGGGAGGAGGGGGAACACTGAGCACATCACTGGGGCCTTATATTCACTACACAGCACACAGCGAGCGGGCCATTCGTTTTCCTAACAACCTTGTGGAATTTGGTATTTTCCTCTCCCATTTTGTGACGGTGTCATTTAAGGCTCAGGGAAGTTAAATAACATCTTGAAAGTGAGTGGACTGTACAGATGAACCCCAACCCCCTCCTTGCCTGTCTTCATCCTGGAGATTTCCCCCCCTCCGCAGGTGAATGGCGTGACGGCAAACTGGCACACCCCCTTGTTTAACGCCTGCATCAGCGGCAGCCAGGACTGTGTGAGTGTGCTTCTGCAGCATGGAGCCAACCCACAGCCTCAGAACGATCTGGCATCTCCCATGCATGAAGCTGCTAAGAGAGGTAAATCCGTTGAGAATCTAAATTTTCCACCCACTCCTTCAAGGGCCATTTTACTTTTGAAAGAAAGAGGGAAGAGGAGGCATATTTGACAGTTCTCAAAGTGAGATCCTCGGACTAGACGCAGGAACATGCTGTTGCCCACAAATGCAGATTCCTGGGCCCCACTCAGCCCCATTGACTCAGTAACCCTGAGGGTGGGGCCCAGCTGTCTGTGCACAGTGAGTTTGAGAGCTTCCTTTTGAGAACACTCGGAATGTTCCTCATCATTATCTGTCAAGATTTGCAGAATAGGCTCGGCACCTATGGCTCAACCGGCTAGGGCGCCAGCCACGTACACCTAAGGTGGCGGGTTCGAATCCCCAGCCCGGACCTGCCAAACAACAATGACGGCTGCAACCAAAAAATAGCCGGGCGTTGTGGCGGGCGCCTGTGGTCCCAGCTACTTGGGAGGCGGAGGCAGGAGACTCGCTTGAGCCCAGGAGTTGGAGGTTGCTGTGAGCTGTAATGCCACGGCACTCTACCCAGGGAGACAGCTTGAGCCCTTTTCAAAAAAAAAAAAAAAAAAAGATTTGCAGAATATATTCTTATACCTATGACCTTATAGAAATCCAGTTATTTCATAAAACAAATTAGATTATTCTAGGTAGGGGCTTTAAAGACTCTTGTCTCAGTGCTACGTAGGTTTCCCAGGGAAACAAACTTTCCGTGGTTGGAACTGTAAAGATGGTTTATACTGTTTGGGATAATTCTTCTTGTAAAGCCACAGTTTTCCTGATATTCTCCACTTTGAGACAAAAATAAAACCGTAAGTTTTGCTTCGCTTTGTTTATCACCATTGTCATTATGACCGTACTTTGCCGGAGGGCTTTCTTTTTCCTTGGTGGCTTCCCCAGAATGACTTCCCTTTTGATGGTACTAACCCAGATTCTAATTATCTCCCAAAGCCTTGGTGTGTATTTATTGAGAATATACAAACTCATCATATTCACTGCATGCATACGACTAAAATGATAAGTCAAGAGAAACACAAAGGAGCAACGGTGAAAGTATGACATTCTAGATCAAGAAAGAAGGATTCAGCTTTCTCCTTGTTTGCCAGACTTGGCCCTGCTTTGTTGGATATGGCGGCTTCTTCTAAGCCTTGCCGGTGCCCACTGTGCCTGTTTCTCCCAGGCCTGCCCTTAGCGAGGCTGTAAATTTCCTTCTGTGCCTTGGGACGCACTGCTCTTCTTCTTCACGGCCACCTTCCCTTCAGTCCCCAATCCTACGTATCTTGTCCCAGCTCTCATGTCAGTTTCTGTACTAACTGCAAAGCTGTGAACAATCGAGAGAGGTGAATGGTTGCTGGGTTCTTCCTGTGGCTGGTAAACTCAAGCGGGCTTTCACCATCCTTGCAGATCTGATCTTGTAGTCAGCCAATTAATGATGGTAGTGTTTAAAACCATTCCTGATACTGAGTAAAGGCAAGGAGAGTTTTTGGTCCCCTGGATGAGTTTCAGGCAAATTGAAACATGCAAAAAACGGGGATGGTGTTGTGTCCCTAGCTAAGGGAACTTGTGCTGTAACTATTATTTTTCTGCTTTTGGCTGCAGGCCACATGAAGTGTATTGAGACCCTTGTTACTTACGGGAGTGACATTGACTATAACATTAGCCACCTGGGAACTCCACTCTATGTGGCTTGTGAAAACCAGCAGATATCCTGTGTCAGAAAGCTTCTGGAGTCAGGTAAAACAAAAAGCAAACCAAAGCAAAAAGTAAAATGAAAAGTCAATTAAATGCATTCTGAAGATTTTCCTCTCGTAGCAGAGAGACAAGTGTGGGCACTGAAGTTGGGCAAGACCAGAGTTCATATTGATGCTATTCCCATGGGGAATTACTGCACCCTGTTTGCACTTTAGTTCTCTCACTTGTAATCAGGATGATGATGATGATGATGAAACTTCCTCCCAGGGTGGTCCTCAGTGATTTTTACTTTATCCTCCATTGTCTCTGCCTCCCTCCCTTTGGGCAATCATGTTATTAGGCCCTCCACACCTTGCAACGCTGTTGGATCAGGGTTGAATCTTCCCATTTGGGACCTTCACCAGTTCTCATTCATTTAGAAATTGAACTTGACCCATTTGTAGCCCATTGTAAATACAGTATTTTTCTGGAAAAGGCCTATGTACTATTATTCCTTTTCACTTCCCTGTTGTGGTTCAGACCTCTTCTCAACACCTAGAACACCATTTTTATCACCTCTTTAATTATCTGGTCCTATGTATTCTTTAAGACTCCAGTAGTCTCTCCCCCTACTGAATCTTGTTATAATCCTTCTTGCCTTCTATTCATTTGGCAGTGATTGCTATAAATTAAGAGGATCATTCTCTTCCCCCTCAATCACCACCCTATGGTCATTTTAAGCTCCTAGCCAGGAAAGGGTTATGTTTGACATCCCTCACAAAGTCAAGAACAATGCAAGACTAAGTCAGTTAACATTTATTGAGTGGACATAGGTTCTCATTTTACTAGAGTGACAACAGCTCAGGCAAAGCCCATGTGTCCCCACATGTCAGAATGAGAGCCAGGATCTGGGCTGTGATGGGGATTTGTTAAGAGTGTAGAGATGGAACTAGATAGAGATGGTTCTAGAAATCTACCTTACTAATGAAGAGAAGAACTTTTCAACCTTCCCTGTGATCTCGGGATTGACAACCTGAATCTAGGAGATGGCCTCATGAGTTGGTTGTGTTTTGCAGTCCAAATCACACGGTCTCAAGTCCTGGGTTTCAAATCCCATGGTGGCTGCTCAGCATGTAAATTTGGCTGCTTGATGTAGATAGGATATCATCATCTAGCCTAATTCTTGGGCTGTACTGGCTAATATTTAAGGTCCATTAATAGTGAGTTTGCAGCCTTCATGTTACCTGGATTTTTTCGCATGTATCAGGCCTATGTGTAGTGCTCAAAGGCTGGTTTTTTAACTGTAGAGGTGGTATGGCTCATGCTATACATTCAGTCACATTGCCAAATGGGATTGTCCCCCTATTCTGGAATGGAATCAGATCACCTCCTGTTTTTTCAGAATTGCCCTGCTTGCTATGGATTCCCTTTTGTTAGGGAATTTGAGGCTCAGTGCCTTGCGAGGGGGAGACAGTGGGCTGCTGCTCCTTGGCCGACTCTCTTTTGTTCTTGTTCTTATTTAGGCGCCAACGTGAACCAAGGAAGAGGTCTGGATTCCCCTCTTCATGTAGTGGCCAGGAAATTGAATGAGGAGCTAGCCAATCTGCTCATGGACTTCGGGGCTGACTTCCAGGCCAAGAATGCTGAAGGCAAACGTCCTGTGGACCTGGTGCCTCCCGATAGCCCTCTGAGCCAGCTCTTCATGGAGAGAGAAGGTGCTTCTCCTTTGCCTGAATCTAAGCCCTAATTCATAGCAACTCCTCCAGCTCTAGTGGGAGGCAGGTACTTAATAAGTTCTGACTTCCAGTCCTATAAAAAGTCTGGGGAAGCTGAGATAATTATTCATTCAACATTCAACAGGGTATGGTCTTTGTTATGTAGCAAATAACCATCCTGCTGTTTGGCATGTTGGGGACAGGCTGTTTGGGATGATCTAATACTTATATGTAGAGCAGGCCAAATTTTGCAAAGTTAATGTTGCTTCAAAATTTTAATATTGAAATGATGGAAAACTTGCTTTAGAATGATGTAGCGGAGGCCTCCTTGGGACTGGAAGAGGCCCCAGGTATCTTACTGCTCTGCAGATGGACCAAACTACTGGCATTTGATTTCTGGGCTTAAAATGCAGCTATTTAAGAGTTTGGGGGTATTTTTTGATGAATCCCACCAATCTGAAGACATTAACCGTTCTAAGTTAGCCAATGGTAAGTCCATATTCCTTCGTAAGTAAGAACTAACACTGCTGCCCCAAATGCCCACACATCAGTGGTGGAGCAGTATGTATGGGAATAGGGGGACTTCCTCGGGCTTTCGGGTCAGAGTCAGAATGGGCTGAAGAGCAAAGATCTCTCAGGTTGCAGAGTTACCTGATTGCAATCCTAATTGCCCAAGAGGCATTTGGGGCATCACCTCTATTACTTCCGACCAGAGTGTGGACTGTCGGGTTCTAGGGGAGGTGGAACTTTCAAGCAGGCCTTTTTACTAGAAGGATTCTTGTGTCATGTGATCTGGTTACTTTCCCCCCATATGCTAAGAAGCAGGACTGACTCTGGGTGGAACCGGAAGGTGGGCCAAGCAAGCCTTCCTCTTCTTCCTGCTACCCCAGGGTACTTGCAGCCACACAAGGCCTGCACTCCTGAGCCACACTGGTCAGAGGAAGAAAGGTTAGCCCCAGGCACAAGGAATAGTCCAGTAGAGACCCTTTATGTTAGCCAGTGGGACAATCACTGGAAAATTCTACCTGCATTTTAATGGTTTCTTGTTTTCAGAAAGTCTGTCTATATATACAGAGCTGATTTCTTCATCAGGCATAGATTGTACAGTGCCTCAGGGCCCATAGAAATGTCTTAATTTCTTTTACGTTCAGGAGAAAAAACAAAACTCAACCTGGATTAAATTCATCTTTATTCCAACATAGCCATAAATAGAATTTTTAATATTTTTTTAATTGAGAAAGCGATCCACAAAGGCAAAAGTGCCTGAGCCCCCCCCCCCCAAAGTCACATACAGTGTATACAGACCCTTCAGAACATTGTGGGGTTCCACCTCACAGCAGTTTATTTGCTGCAGTCCACTCGTTTCTCTATATTTCTCTGGACCCCAGGAAGGGAATTACTGTCCTCTTTCAAGAGTGTGGCAAGAGGAGGCTATTAGGTGAAATGCAGCCGTGTTCTGAGTTGGGCTTTACATAGGTGTTAAGAAAGATGAGATCTTTCCTCCTTCAGAGGGACAGAGAAAGGATTTCAAGAATATTACCGCCCCACCCCCCTTGATGAACATCTAATGACTCAGTGTTTGCTCAGGGCATGCAGTGAAAACTACAAATGACTCAGCCTAGCATGACTGCCCTGGTGTCACTCCCTTCCCCCATGAATGAGCTTTGACCTTATTAAAGCATCATGAGTGTTGCTGGGCGGGGTGGGGTGGGGAGAAAGAAATTAAGGCCAAAAGGAATATGCCAATTCATTAATATACAATTAGCTGGTTTTATTGTTGAGCAAAGCAACCCCCCTGAGTGTTGGCAGGTGCCAGGAAGTGGCTCCAAAGCTGGAATGCGTTTGCAGCTCTGTTTCTACGGAATGAAAGCTACGGTTGTTATACACCATCCTATTTGCAGGAAACAGGAGCGATTCTGTTGGCATCAGTGGTTACACTGTGCTTGCTCTGACGTCCTGCTTTTCATAATTCTCCACCAGGCTTGCTCTGAGATCTTGTTCTTCATAATGCTTTATCAGTACCTCCTACGATTGCCCCTGACAGTGTATCTAGCACAGATGATTAGTCACATCCTTCAACACTCCTTAGTGAGGTTAGATTCAGTTCAGTTTCCCCACAGTGTACTTTTGCAGTTCATTAATACACGCCTTGAGTGCAGCGGGAAGCAGTTCATTAATACACGCTTTCAGGACCCTGGACATAATCGGGGAGATGCCTTACTCCAGCCAGGCCCTCGTGCTAGGGCCTGATTTAATATATTGCATGTATTTTTATTGTATTTGTGTCTATTTGCACCTTTCCATGTTCTCTATCGCCTGAGAGATAGTAACTGTGATGCAGGTTGCCCTGTAGCTTGCGATGCTATAGGAAAGTAGAGGCCCTCTTGTCCTTTCCGTTGTATTCTCAACATTCTGTCCACACATGCCTCTCAAAAACCCAGATACTTGAGCTTTCCCCAGTGACAATAATTGAAGCGACATCTCTGGGCAGGGGGACCCAGCACCATGTAGTTTAATGTTCCCCCACCCCAGGTGATCCTGAAATGCAACTCAGATTGAACGCCACTGCTTTATGGAATTCTTGAGGGTATATAGTTTTGCTTTTAAAAAAATAACCAAAAAAGAATTCCCAGTACAACTTGGTACAGCAGGAGTGTTTGAAAAATCATTTCCTATCCTTTTACCCTATGCCAGGGTTTCTCAGCCTTGGCACTGTTGACATTTGGGGCCAGTGGGGACTTTCCTGTGCACTGTAGGGTGTGAGGAGCACCCCTGTCCTCTCCCATGAGATGCCAGTGGCACCCTCCCCCAAGTAGTGACAACAGAAAATACCTCCATACATTGCCAAATGTCCCCTGGGAGCAAAATACATCCTCCTACTTCTCCCCCACTTCACCTGCCCCCAGTGGAGAAGCTACCATGCTGAACTGTAAACGCTTAATTGTTCCTAATGCAAGATTTGGGATAGATCGCTCTTCACCTCTGAGCTTAAAACACTGGGCTAGCTCTGAATACAGAGTAGGAAAACAAACATGGCTTAAAATAACATACATTTATGTTTCAGTGAAAGCTCATTTGGTTTGAAGACCTTAAAATTGCTCGAATTATAAAATAAAACTGTTTGTGTCTGGAAGTATGCCCTTATTTTTTAAGGTAAAAGACAAGAACACCATTAAACATGAATGTTATTTTCATTATAGGAATTTGTGTGTAGCTGTGTAATTCCCAAGTTAGCTTTCTTAAGCCTCCATTAGTGAGGCTAAGCTTTAAATTTCTTTCGCCCTGTTCTAAATTAAAACCTAACAAGCTCATTTCAATTAGATACCAGAAAAGAGGGCAAATGGCCTTAAAATGCCGCCTACAAACCCCCCCAGAAAATGGTCTTATTTCCTTGTAACAATGCTGAATCCCGTAGGTATGCTTACAAAATACAAAAGGAGAGGCGGTCTTAGATCAATGACACCCATGTGTGACTTTTCTTGTGATCTTTCTCCAGGGCCCCCTTCTCTGATGCAGTTGTGCCGCCTTCGAATTCGGAAGTGCTTTGGAGCTGGGCAGCATTATAAGATAACCGGACTCGTCCTCCCGGAGGAGCTGAAGCGCTTTCTCCTACATCTTTAAGTGCGCCAAGGGCCTGCATTCACAGACAACACGAAAACTTTATTGAGTGTTGTCGCCATTAAAACTTTAAAATAAAATGAGCATCATAAAGGTTGGCTAGTGTTTTCTTTTTTTCAGTTAGGTTTTTAATGAAGCTCACTGGGCACTTTTGTATTATTTAGTAGAAAACATGAACATTTTTTTCTCCCAGCTTAGAGCAGAGTGTCTAAAATAACCGCTATTGTTCTGAACATCTACCACATGCCAAGCACTAAATAAGGAACAGTTTCTGCGTCATCTAATTTAGCCGTCACAGCAACCCGACCCAACACAGTAGCCACCAGTCCAGAGGTTCTCAACTAGGAGCAATTGTGCCACCCAGGGATGTTCAACAAGACCTGGGCACATTTTGATCATCACAACTGAGGAGGGCTATGCTATCAGCGTCTAGTGGGTGGAGGCCAGGGCTTCTGTATAACATCCTACAATGCACAGGACAGCCCCTCCCAGAACAAGAATGACCCGGTCCAAAATGTAAATGCTGTAGTACCCAGGTTGAGAAACACTGTTCTGGACATACATGGCTATTTAAAACATGTAAATTAATTAAAGTTAGGTAAAATGAAACACCCAGTTCCTCAGTGCCATCGGGCACATTTCAAGTGGTAAGGAACCCCTAACGGCTAGTGGCTACTCTATTGGACGGTGCAGTCACAAATGACTGCAGAAAGTTCCATCGCTCCACCCTTGAAGAAATGTTTATTGAACATTTCTCTTTGGCAGCTCGATGAATGGATTTTCAGTTTCAGATTTACAGGAAACCTGTGATGTAATTTAGCAATGATGGCTGTAAGTTCAGAGTTCTCTCTAGGAGATGTATGAAGCTCCATTGTATCAACAGAAAGAAAGAAAACATTCTAGATAATTAATTAACTCACATCCTTACCTGTTAGGTGACATGTGGTGCAAGTGATCGCTAAATATATTTCCAATATGTTTTTTCCTGTAATTCTAAATTTAATTTGCGATCTGAAAAAATGACTCCAGAATATTTTTCTAAAAATGCCCAAGCAATTTCCCAGCAGATGGCGCTGTTGCCACATAGTCGCTTCAGTGAACGTGGTGTTCCTCATAAATGACCCATCATAAAATGCTTTATAACACAGACTCTGGAAATTTCCATTCAAGAATGAGAACTTTGTAGTGATAGATTCCACTGGCATTGGGTTTCCTTTTTCTTTTCCAATGTACTCAATAATTCAAATGTGACTTTATAGACCTCACTTCCTTTCCTTTTTTTGTGTGTTTTAGTTTTTAATCTGATGATTTTCCCATGTACTGCTTTGAATTTGGACAGGTAGTGAATATCAGCGTACTGCTACTTGCTAATTTATTTAATTCAATTTATTTAGGAAATATTTTGTGAGCGTCCATATCTATGCCAGGCATCATTCTAGGCAGCAGTGAACAGGATAAGTAAAGATATTTGACTTCCTAGCCCTTACATTCTAGTGAGAGAATCATTTGCTAAGAGGTGAGGAACTATAGGAATTTTGCTATTTTCTTTTTGAAAACAGCAATTAAAAAAAATAGCAATTGCTTATGTTAATCTTTCTTCAGTCAAAGCCACTGAGTATTACCTACGACTGTAACAATGACTAGATGAGCATTTTTTCTTCTTAAATATTCCAGGCAGTTAATCAATATGCAAATCCATGTAATAGATAGGCACACTGCAATTGGGAAAAATACCACCACCACATCTCTCATTGTAGGTTAGGAAAATTTCAAAGTACCTCTTAGCAATGCAGAGAAAAAAGATTGTATTTAAATAGGGAGTCTATTTTTATGCATCTAGATGTTCTATTTATAAGTGGCATATACCTTCGAATGCTTTGTCATTCTAACCTGGCACACCCTCATACATTCTTGTCATCAAAGCTGGTTGAGTGACATTTAATAGACCCCACCTATTGAATGATGGACATAAACTTAGCCTCGTGAACCTGTCTTTTTAAAAATGGTGAGCATGTGTTCTGCTTTTAGATTCCAAACTTAACATACGTTTATTGTTGACCAGTTTCGTATTGTCATTTTACGGTATTTTCCTTGATTTTATTCAGTAGAAATGCTGGCTAGTTGGTGCACATCATAGCCCAATTCATGTTATAATGAAAGAAGAAAGCAGGAAGGAGGGAAGAATCATGTATTTTTTCTGGGCTTGGGATGGGGCTGATTGACAATGGGCTGGTACTTTGTGCCAGGCTGGAGTGGTTAGCCATTAAGCAGACATTAAGGGCTCAGAAATGAGGGACCAAGATGTGCTCAGCTGTCTATTTGGGGGGACGGGATTAGGTCTTTATAATGTGTTGAAAGCCTAGCATTAGGGCTTCAGTATAAGATCAGGTCAGCATCAAAAACAACTAAGAGGGCTTGCTAAAAGCTAGGTATTCTGCATTGGTGATTTATAAACCCTCCTTCAAACCCCCACAGTTCTTATCCTCATTTTACAGATGGGGGTGCAGAGATGTTAAAGAACTAGCAAAAAGTCATACTGGCAGTGGTGGGTGGCGAAGCCGGGGGTTAATGCGGAAGCCAGAGCTCCTAACTGGTATACACTCTGCCTTCTCTTTTCTTCAGTCTCAGCTCTGAGCTCTGGGTCCTAAACTCCACGTCTAATTTCCTGATAGTTCTCAGAAAGTGAAGCTTCAGCCAAGTCTGTAGGTCAGAGGTCCTGGTGTGACACCAAGAAGCTATGCCAAGTTTAGGCCTGGACAGCACACTTCCGTTTCCCCAGTCACATGAACCAGCCTGGAAGGCTCTAAAGTTGTCTTTAGGGCAGGTGGCTGAAATCCAGGTGTTGGCTAGGGCAACGGTTTTTTTTTGTTTGTTTTTTTTTGCAGTTTTTGGCCGGGGCTGGGTTTGAACCTGCCACCTCTGGCCTATGGGACCGGCGCCCTACCCTTTTGAGCCACAGGTGCCGCCCATAGGGCAACAGTTTTCATCTGGGACAGAATTTGGTTTCTTATAGTTGGAAGGCCGAGGTCTCTCCTAGCTGTCAGCTGGGGGCTACTCTTGAGCATTTGAGAGAATGCCCACGGTTCCTTGTCATCTAGCCCTCGCCATAGGAAGTTCTAGGCCTGGATGTTGGCCTTCTTCCAGGCCAGGTGAAGTGCATCTCCCTCTCTTCCTGTTCTGGGACCAGCTGGAAAAATCTGTTTCTAAAGGGTTCACTTGATTAGGTCAGGCTCGCTTGGATAATAGCCTGTATTTAAGGTCAACTATTTTGGGACCTTGATTACATCAGCGAAACCACTTCATAGCAGCCCCTAGATTAGTGTTTTATTGACCAACTGGCAGAAGTAATGTATTTTGTTGCGTGCAATGCACTGCTGTGGATACTGTGCACCCATGTTTTTTTCCCCGAACTTTCAGGAAAACACTCCTAGAGAAAGTGCTTGGCTCTTGGCCAGGAGAGACACATCTGGAGAGGGCTAATGCTCCACTAGTGAACATGCGGGTCACACCGCCCTGCAGCTGCCCACTTGGTGAGGCTGCCCCTTCCCTCTCCAGAGCTCTTACCTTCCCATTATGTTGGGGACCTCAGCTGAGATGGCCACGTGCGTGGCCAGCAGGGCGGGAACTTCTGAGGTCACTTGGCCTGTAGGCAGCCAGACAGGTCCCTGTGGCCTGCCCAGGGGTCACAGTCCCCCACGCATGGCTGGGCCTCAGGCCTCAGTCCTTGTCCAGCAGAGCCACAGCCTGCCTCATCAGCCCCACCACTACCCCCTCCCCTGATGTGACACTGAGTGGAGGCCACTTCAGCCCACTCCCATGGGATCCTGGAGCCTTCCAGACTGGAACTCTGTGTTCCCAGCAGGCCCAGGTGGGGGGGGTGTGGTGGCCCTGGGAGTGGCTCCTCTGTTCCAAAGCCATACTCTTGTTTATAATCCAGATCCTTATTTTTCCCTCAAAAATTTGGGCAAAAAAGTTCATATTATACACAGCAAAATATCTACACAAGAGGCCTAGAATCTTCGGGGCATCTTAGAATTCTACCCACCATACCTATGAATAGCTAATAACTATCAATTATGCATTGATTCATCTGGAATACAATATATAATAACACACTACTGATTATTTAATCAGACTGTACCTTGCTTACTCTATGCTGGGCATGAGTGCAAGAATTTCACAAATATCAACTCATATAATACTTACAATAATTCTGGGATATTGGTGATGATGTTATTATCCATTATTATTGCTAAGGAAACTGTGGTCCAGAGAGGTTAAGTAAGTTTCCCAAGGTCACACAGCTTCTGTCAGAAACAATGTGAGCCCTAGATCGTTAAGTTTGGCAGTGAAGAATGAAGGTCCATGTGAGGCCAGGAAGTGGAACTTCTCAGCTTTGACTCCATTGTGTTTGGGACTAAGTACAAGGTCACTGGCATGCCCGCCTAGGAGGTGAGATGTTGTATGAGAGTTCTGTTCTCTCATATGCTGGCCTTCACAACGCTTCTGTAAATCTAAGTAGGACAATTCATACTAGGCAGATGTTTTACAAGAGACTTCACTCAGGTTTGTGGAAACCACAAGGGATGCTTGAGTTTGCTGGGGATCCACTTCCTGGCCCAGTTCCTGGCCAACTTCCCTGGGACAGAGAACACTGGTTCCTTATTCTCCTGACTTTCCTATAGCACTCACCTGTGATGTTTCCTCCACACCCAGGAGAGCTAAGCCCAGAGGAGACCAGGGTCTCTCATCTGCTCGAGACCCACTTTCCATACCCTGGCTTCCTATCTGATTGCCTGGTGATGTCACTGGGAGTGACCAGCTGCCACTCATTGTAATGTGAATACTTGGCCTATTACCACAGAAGGCCAGTCTTATCAACCAGCCTGCAGCCTTACCAGGCCAGAGGCACACACACATGAGGGGTAGGCGAAGGGGCCCCCTGTTAGATACAGTCCAGAGGCTTACTCCAGTGAGTAAAGACTAGGCATGCCTAGGACTTT